ATTAGGTGTGGTCGTGTGTTCGTATCTGTGTCGTTGAATCAGTTTAATCTAACGGCAGTGGTAATTCTGAGAATTTTCGCGCGTTTTGGTAAGTGGGGGTGCTATGGTAATTACAGTGGCCATTTATAGCGGGCGGGTTCCAGAATATACCAACAGTGTTGACAACATACACCAATAGTGTAATAAAACACACCACAGTGAAACACACCAATGGTGTATTCCCGTGTTATGGTAATTACAATGGCCATTTATAGCGGCCGGCTTCCAAAATACACCAACAGTGTTGACAACATGCAGCAATAGTGTAATAAAAAAACACACAAACATGTGATTTCTCCTATTCCGGTGTTGTATGACGAGTTTACCCTTGCAGTTCGCTGGGTAGGAGAATGTGCGCGAAAATACTGAAAAAATCTTGATTAATATGATTCATTGGATCTATCTAGTCTAATGGCCTATAATTGACCATATGACCACACCTAACAACATGACCACATGTGATCACTCCTCTCTCTCTCTCTCTCTCTCTCTCTATATATATATATATATATATATATATATATATATATATATATATATATATATATATATATATATATATATATATATATATATATATATATATATATATATATATATATATATACACACATCCAATTATTTAAATGTAAACTTTTTAAATCTCATGTAATATTTAATAACACAATGTCTTATAATATATGATAGTAGTATGTTGTGATGATTATTATTTGATTTTATAATTTTTTTTTAACATTTTGTAGAATAAAGTTATTTAAATTAAGCCATGAAAATGAATATATTAATATTTCTCTGAAAATATAATCGGCAATTATGTTTTCATAAATATATTACTTTTAAATTATATGAAAATGAATATTAATTCGTTTTATGAATGAAAAAAAATGAATATTACACACGAGAATCTTTTTTTTTTTTGAATGTTACACACGAGAATCTATTATTAGTATTCTATTAATAATTGGTATGAGAATCAGACTAAATGAAAAAAGGAAAATAATATTAAAAATGCATTGGAAATATAACACAAGTTTTCCCTTCGAAAAAATTAGTAACTACCAAATAAAATATTAAAAAAAAATTATGAAAGAAAAAAGAATGAAGAAAATATGAAATGAATATATTTATATTTCACTGGAAATATAATCAGAAAATTATATTATTATTATTATTAGTATTATATTAATTATTTATGAAGGAAAAAGGAAATGAATATATTAATATTTCACTGGAAGCATAATCAGCAATTATATTTTTATAATTATATTATTTTTTAGTTATATGAAAATAAATATTAATTCTTTTTATGAATGAAAAAATAAATAAATATTACACATGGAAATATGTTATTAGTAACCATTAAATGAAATATTAAGAAAAAATTATGAAGGAAAAAGGACTGAAAATCAATTTTAATTCTTTTTATGAAGGAAAAAGGAAATAAAATACTAGGGAAAACGAAATGAATATATTAATATTTTACTGGAAATATAACACAATTTTTCCTACCAAAAAATTAGTAATCAACAAATAAAATATTAAAAAAATATATGAAGGAAAAAAAATATGGCAATCAATATTTATTCTTTGTATGAAGGAAAAAAGAAATGAACATATTCAAAACGAAATGAAATATTAGAAAACAAAATGAATATATATTAATATTTCACTGGAAATATAATCGACAATTATATTATGATAATTATATGAATTAAATAATAATTAATTAATTAATTAATTAATTATATTAATAAATAGTAATAATTAACATTTAATAATTATAGTATAGACAAATTGATATTGATATGTATTGTCTGAATATAAAAGGGTCACGAACTCATTTATTTTCTACCATTATATACTTTTAATTCTTCTCTTATATTTCTCAACTTTCTCTTTATTGTTTAGTAATGAAGTCAATTTTGTCACTGCCTTTGATCTATCCTCCAAGACAAAGAAAAACTCTATAGGCCTTTAGTTGACGCGTTGTTATTTGTCCAGAGAATATCAACGCACAATCGTCAAGGCGTCAGCCACCAAACTCTAGAGTGCTTATTTCATGACTCTAAGGTACATATTGCATTTATATATTATTCAAACATCACTTTATTTTTGTGATAATACATTAAATATCAAATAATATTAATATTTATGTTGTATGTTGTATATTCTATACAAATAATTTATATAACTGAGTTGCAAGCTAGACAACGAGCTAATTAGGATAATTAATACAAATCATAAATACTGTTATATAAAATCTCTAAAGTTTTAGCACCGGATGCGTACATCTACATGTTGGCTATGAATAATTATTTGTTCGAATTCAAGCATTGATAACATGCATTAGAAAACATAATCGATCCAACTCAATTATTCAATTGCACTATATAATATTTGGTGTTTTAATTTAAATAATTATATATCAATCCAAATATTTTTAATATATTACAACAAATCCATTCCGTGCATCACACGGGGGCAAATACTAGTTCATATAATACTAGTATTTTCCCCAGTGCGATGCACGGGAAATGTGTTGTAAAAATGGGTGTTTATTTCAAGATAAGCCAGAAGAACCAAGTGGGAACAATATATTTGCCCCCGTGCGATGAACGTCATAAAATTTAAGTAACTTTATTGTTGATAATATTTTTAAAAAGAGTTAATACCTAATATAGTCCTCGAAGATTTGCATTTATTCGTGGATCTTAATAAGGAGAAGAAGAAGGAACCATCCTAAATGGGATGAAGGATGAGAAATTACCATTATAGGACTCTATTCTTAACAGTTAACTAACAGAATTTTTAACAAAGGTCTAAATTGTATAAAATCATCAAATTCGATGACTAAATTGAGCACAAAAAGTCATTTAAGACTAAATTGAGTACAACTGATATAGTCGATGACTATATTGGGTATTAATTCATTTAAAAATGATAAAATCAAACATCAATGATGAAAATTTATTTTGAAATGTATTTTTCTTTAGCAATACTAAATTGGTTTCTATATTGAACATTATCACTTACTATTAACATATATTATATATTATAAAGTATTGTGTTATTAGATACCACATGAGATAGTTATAAATAGATACTACATTGTAACATAGTGGGTAGTACTAAAAAAAAAAGATATCACATGAGATTTGAAAAAATTGACATTTATTCAATTCAAACTATATACAATAAATAATTAGAAAATCAAATTATATACAATAAATAAATGATTTTTTATTTTCTCATGAGAAAATATAAATGTTATTTCAAAATTTCAACGTGAAATTTCAAAATTAGAAAAGTATGAATACTCATGCTCCTTTGCAACCATTTAATGAAATTGGATGTTGTTTAAGAAATTAAAATTTATTATATATGAAAACATCAACGATTATTATGTGGTATTTAAATGATCTACAAAATAACATTTTTAAGAACAAAGCTTATTTTATAAATATTTGGATATTCCATGAGATATAAATAATTAAATATATACAACAAATAAAAAATTTATTCAAAGTATGTTCAAATATTATAATTATTAGTATGACACTTATGTGACGTACATACTAAAAATTTAAAATATTAAATTATACAATGTTATTAAAAACTATCAATGTTATTAAATGTTATATATAAAAATGTGATATGAGCTTTATTCATTCCTAGTAATTATAGTAATAATATTTCGTTAAGGCTAATAGGATGCATGATTCCGTGTTTCTCTATGTGAAATTATTACTATAATAATTACTATAATATATATATATATATATATATATATATATATATATATATATATATATAGAGAGAGAGAGAGAGAGAGAGAGATGAATACAATAAATGTTTTCACATTAGGGAAAATTTGTGGGACAATTATTTTGCTTTAATATATATAGAGATAGAGATAGAGATAGAGATAGAGATAGAGATAGAGATAGTATTATTATTATTATTATTATTATTATTATTATTATTATTATTATTATTATTATTATTATTATTATAAATAGTAATAGTAATTATAGTAATAATAATAATTGGCTAATAGGACGATTCCGCATTTCTGTGTTGTTATTAAGACTGATTTTACGTTTTGTATTAAGGTTGATTTAATTTAAATAATTTAATTAAGGATGATTAAATTTAATTTAGGATAATTTAATTTAATTAAGAATGATTAAATTTAATTAAGACTGGTCTAATCTAATTAAGAATGATTATTTATAATACTAAATATATAGGCTGATTTATTTTAAATGATTTAATTTAATTAAGAATGATCATTTGTAATACTAAATATATATATATATAGGGTGATTTAATTTAAATAATTTAATTTAATTAAAATACTATACTATAATAACGAATAATAACGAATAATAATAATAATAATAATAATAATAATAATAATAATAATAATAATAATAATAGCCCCCATGGGTAGCTCAATTGGTTATAGAGATGAAATTTTTGAAGAATGACCAGGGATCGAGTCTCACCAGCGACAGTGTGGGATGCATGATTTCGTGTTTTTGTATATGAATTATTATTACTATAATATATATAATAGTAACTAATATTATATATTCTTCTTTTACTCACCATGTTAAATTACATGAATTACATGAATCTATTTATAAATTAATATGAATACAATAAATGTTTTCATATTTGGAGGGGAAATTTTTGGGACAATTATCTTACTTTAATATATATATATATATATATATATATATATATATATATATATATATATATATATATATATATATAGAGAGAGATATATATAACTATGGAGTACTAATATAGTGATATATTAATATATTTACAGAAAAAAAATTATTTTTGAAATTTCAAACCAATGCTTTTGAATAATGCATGAATCAGCCACAAAACCCCTATAAATATACATTTTTTCATACATCACACCCTCACTACACTACCATCTAGGCTTCTTAGTTTTTCTCTGGTATATAGATAACCATGAATTCAGGAACAACGACATCCATGTTGGTTTTAATTTTCTCCTTGGTTATTGCTACAGGTGATCGTGGTTAATATTTCATTTACAAAAAAATTATTAATAGCAGAAGTATGAATATTATATTTATAGTATTGATTTTATCTTGTAAGTCCATTTTTGTTTGTGATGTGTATGTTTATTCTTATTATTATTTTGAAAAATCTTGAATCATTATTTTCTCTAATATCACCAATGTAAAATTATTAATCTTTGCAGACATTTCACTAGTCGCTGAAGCAAGGAATGTAGCACGGCCATGCAGCCCGAGTGACCCGTGCCCTCCTCCATTGATTTGTAACGGCCTTAACCTTTGCCAACCTCCAACAGGTGCATATAAATATGGGGGTAACGATAAAGTCGTGGTCAAGCCACAACAATTTGAAAATTTTGTAACCGAGGGTGTTGCAGATCGAATTAATAGCAATATTTAGATGATTTTATATGTCAAGCTGCAAAAATTTGAAAATTTTGTAACTGAGGGTGTTGCAGATCGAATTAATTGCAATATTTAGATGATTATATATGTATTGAATAATGATATAATTAATCGATGAATGGACTATTTTGGCAATGAATTGAATGTTAATTGGGCAAAAAGCCCATTCATAAATTTTTTTTTTAAGAAGAATAAAAGTAGATTGTTACCTATAAATTTAGGATAAAAAATGAAATTAACTAAAAAATTATCATTGAAATATCAAAAGGAAGAACATTTGTAATGGTGAAACAAAGTATTCAATATTCAATGAACATCATTCAATTTAACTATGACTAGTATTTTCACCCGTGTGTTGCACGAATTGGATTTGTTATGATATTTTAAAAATATTTAGATCGATAAATAATTATATAAATTATAACAACGCATATTATATAGTCTAATTGATGAAATGAGTTGGATCGATTATGTTTTCTGATGTTATCATTGCTTGAATTCGGGCAAATAATTGCTCAATTACCTGTGCGATTCATGAATAAAAAAATTATTATATATTTAGATAATAAAATTAAAGTTGAAATTATAAACAATTATAATATTTAAAAATATTCATTTATCTGATTATAATATTAGTACAAAAGTATCACTCAATTACTTGAATAATATATGACTCATTTGTCTGCAATTATCTTAAAAAATCGATATGTAATATGATTTGTGTAATTATATTATTACTAAAATAAATATGAGAAAAAGACAATTATTAATTACCATAATAATTATTAGACAATTATACTAATATATGTGCAATTATACTTTTATACCTCAAATATATTCTTTTTAACTATATATCCAATACTTTTTTCCTCCTCCTCCATATCTGAATGAATTAATTGTAATTATTATATATAAAAATCCACCAACCCATGTTTAATTGTAGTTATACTAAAATCTGTGCAATTATTAGCTTAATTAACATAATAATTATTAATCAATTATACTAATATATATGCAATGAGTTCTTTAATTATCATAATTATTATTAGGGAATTATACTAATATTGTGCAACTATAATTTTATACCTTTTATATATATATATATATATATATATATATATATATATATATATATATATATATATATATATATATATATATATATAGACACACACGCACACACACACAAACACACACACATATATATATATACATATATATGTGTGTGTGTGTGTGTCTGTGTGTGTGTGTGTGTGTGTTGAAATCATCACATAGTGACAATATATGTTGTGTGTACGTACGTATGTACCTAGTAGGGGTGTAAACGAGCCGAGCTGGGCTCGAGCATGGGTTAGCTTGAGCTCGAGCTCGATAAGTAAGGTTCGGCTCGAGCTCGAGCTCGGTCGAGCTCAAAAAATGATGCTCGAGCTCGGCTCGACAATTTTTCGAGCCGCTCGAGCTCGGCTCGAGCAACTCGATTTTGACCTATTTGAATTCATATTTCAATTAATAATAAACATTGTTTTATCCATACATAAATAATAAAAACTTTAAAAAAATTCAAAAGTCCAAACTTTAATGTTTAAAGACTCCAAACACTAAAAACAAGTTTACAACTTCACTTTAATTACAAGTCAATAGTAGTCATTGATCCTTACCATATATATAATATTTATCTATTTATTTAATTATGACTCACGAGCTGCTCGACGAGCCACGAGCCAATAATATTTGAGCTCGAGCTCGAGCTCGTTTAATAAATGAGCCGCTCGAGTTCAGCTCGAGCTCGATTTTGACCGAGCTCGAGCCAAGCTTTGACCGAGTGGCTCGCAAACCGCTCGCAAGCCGCTCGGCTCATTTACACCCCTAGTACCTAGGAGCGATCGACCCGACTGCTGTTAGTCGGAAGTGCTGATGGAAGAGTGGTAGAGAGGCCTCCCTCTTGAGATGGTGGAGGACAGTGAGAAAACTGACTATGAGGCGGTAGGAATTGGGCACTAGCTGGCCGGACACCAATCTATACTTGTCGAGAAGTTGGGAGAGAAAAGGGAAGATGGGGACGCGGAAGCTGCACCAGACCAACTGGTAGTGAATACCGATAAACCCGCCCTTAGGGGGGGGGGGGGGGTTGGTGATAAGCAGTCGACTGGCCTCCTAGGTTTCTTCCTCCTGGACGAGTAGTCGGTGGGCGTGATTGTAGTCGATGGCGGAGAGAGTGGAATGGCGAGACACTGACCACTCAAGGTCCTCGAAGAAACCTGGATCTCTATCGATCACCGGTTGGACCAGGGCAACGGAGGTGATGCGAGCAGCCGCCACCGGCCGAGAATGTAACACCCCGTATTACTAACTTCAAATCCGGATTAATTATTTAATTAATTCCCTTAAAGGTAGTTAAAAAGGATTTAATCTGGTTGGGATTCCTTTAATTAATTAGTGTGGTCCACAATGGATCGTGGACCCTTGCCTAAACTAGAGCCATTAAGTCTGTTAGGATTAAAGAAAGTGGGCCTTTACTATTCAGATCCTAATGAATTCCTAGATCTATATATATAGGGGATTCGAAAGTATTTAGAGCCCTTCCCACCCATATCACTCGAAATTCCCCAAGGGACCTAGCCAAGGATTTCCCCATCACCCAGTGTAGGAAAAGATCAATAGGAGTTGTGGGAGAATTAATTAAGTCTAAAAGGTAACCCATGTATTACAAAACCTATTTTCCTTGCTATCTTTTATTTATTGGCTCCTTTGATAATCGTATGAATGAATTTGTGATTATGCCTTGATAGAGCTTGTCTTTAGGGTTATGATGTGGATTCTTGCTATTCTTGATGGGCTTGTGTGGTGGTTTGCATGTTCTTGTACTTAATTACGTTTAGAGCTTTTCTTTAGGGTTTTATATTGTGGATTCTTGATGTTCTTGTGGTTCTTGATGCTCTTGAACGATTATGTGTTTGGTCTTAAGTCTTAGCATGTATAGGGCTTGTGCTTAGAGTGTAATTGCGTTGTTTCTTGGCTTATTCTTGGTATTAAAGTCCTTGTTATTGTTGATGCGTGTTGGGATGTGTTTGGACTTGATTTTGGTAAGTTTGATGAATTCCCGGGTTGGGAAAATAAGCCAAGAGTATTCGTACCAGCGAGTAGTCAGTGGGGGAATGAACCCCCACCTGACTACCCGCCAGTACAGGCCACGGTACCAGTGGGTGACCGGCGGGTGGACGACCACCCGCCGGTGTACCCGCTGGTACAAGGTCGTCCGTCAGCGGGTAGATGGCGGGTGGTTGTCCACCCACCGTTCCGCCCACTGGTATGGGCGGGGCGATGTGTCGTTGAATCCCGTTTGTTGTTTCCCCGTTCCCCGTTGTGCGCTGTTTGATGTTTGTGAGTATAGCTTGATGTCGTGGATATCGAATTAGGAGTCATGGGCCTTGGATATTGCATGTGGTTTAAGTTGGTATCCCGTTGGCCTAGGATGAGGTTTGTATGTTCCCTTAGGAGTCTTGTGGTTGCCTGGTGGTCGTTGGAAGTAGAGTCTAGGTGGTTCCCATGGGTTGTGTGTTGGTAGTGTGCCAACCATTGATAAGAGTCTATGTGTTTGTTGTACCCTTCCCTCTGACTATCCCTCGTTGAAGTATTGTTGTGTGTCATGTGCTATTGTGTTGGAAAGGCAGATCTGGTGGGGCCACAGCACTATTGGAGTGTGGTGCTGTGGTAACCTTGGTTATGATGGGCTTCAGTACCTTTGGAATGTGGTGCTGCATACCATTGGTGTTACGGGCTGCAGTACCTTTGGAGTGTGGTGCTGCAGTACCATTGGTGTTACGGGCTGCAGTACCTTTGGAGTGTGGTGCTGTAGTACTTGGGTTATGATAGGCTGCAATGCTTTTGGAGTGTGGTGCTGCAGGACCTATTGGCATGCGATGGGCTGTAGTACTTTTAGAGTGTGGTGCTACAGTTCCTTTGATACATTATGGGCTGCAGCACTTTTGGAGTGCAGTGCTGCAGTACCATTGGAATGATATTGTGCCTTGATTGGCGGAAAAGATCTGCGAGTGGAGTCTAAGTCTTGTTGTTTTCTTGTCTTGTGGTCTTAGGATGCATGCTAGTACGTTTATGTGTTTTTATATTGTCGAGTCTATTGGTAACTTGGTATGGCTCGAGTCTTGACCTTGGTTTTAAAGCTGGGGTTCTTTAGGACTATATATGTATTCCTGAGTCTCAAAATGGTTTTCTTATATCTACCTATATTGTACTCAACGCGTGGGAGTGGGTTACTTAGCATTATTCGCTGACAGTTATTACACCGCATGTTTTTCAGGTACTGACTAGTAGCTTCGGAGCGCGCTAGATGGATCGTGGACCTAGCTGTAGTTAGTTCTAGTCTTAGTTTAGACGGCCTGCGCGCCTTGACTATATTTGAATATCAATTGTGGATGATGCTAGTTTAGTTAGTTTGCATCTAGGTCCTCAGACTTAGATGTGGCATAGCACCCCGATACTTATGTTGTTAGCTTCCGCTCTGTTGGGTATTAATGATAGTTTCATCTTATTACTTAAGCTTTAAATGTTTTAAAAAAATTAGGGGTGTTACAGTTGGTATCAGAGCCTAAGTTCGGCCCTAGGACAATGCCTTTAGGACAGGACTTTAAGATATTATGCTGGAATCTCTGGGTATCTAAGTAATTAGGATAAAAAGATTCTAGGACGCGCGGTGAGCTGGTGAGTTTATTTATCGCTTTCTATTGAAAATTCTCCTATATTTACTCTCTGTCTAGCTTTTATGCTTATGATTTAAGACGTCAGGTATGGGTGCCTGTTCCTAACCCACATCTAGAACCGATGTTGACCCTGTAGAATCTAGTATGACACCGATAAGAAACCATGCAAGAACCCCTGAGACGCTAACTAACGAACAGTTAGCTGATCAGAACTTGCACCAGCTAACTCAGATCGCCCAAGCATTGAGTGATAACCTCCTTCACCATAACAACCGCCCGCCACCGAACGTAAATCACGACGTAGCTCGCCAAGTTTCAAACCACCGTCCCCCTACATTAATTGGGGAAGAGGATCATTGATTGCA